TGCAAAAATAAAAACATCATAGTTTAGTTTGAAATACGTTTTAAATTCGGTCTGTTTTTCATCGCCCAAAGTAATTCGTACGAAAGTTGCGCATATCCCCGTTATTTGAAATTTAAAAAACTGGGACAATTAATACCACTTCTGCTGAGCCTTAATTATTCTTAATAGATAATATCTAAAATCTTAAAATCTATATCTAAAATCTATCTAGATATTATCTAAAATTAAAAATTAAAATAATCATTACTAGTATCTTCTTATATGGTGCAGAAGCGTGGACGATGTTGACATCTGATGAGTCGGTTTTGAGAGTCTTCATGAACAAAGTTTTCCGAACAATTTATGGTCAATCGCGCATTGACCACGGCAATGAGATGTACGAGTTATGCGATGACATTGACATAGTTCAGTGAATGAAAAGATCATTGAAAGGATCAGGATGATAGTGACCTGGATTCACTTAATATTTCCAACTGACGCCCAACAACGAAAAGAAGAGATGAAGGGCACGATATAGTTCATGCAGCTATAATCGAGTAAGCCGTGCCTACGCCAATAAAGAAGAAGAAGTACCTTTTTATTCAATTGATTACTTTGACTAAGAAGTCAGAATTTGAAATGAAAAATCACTATTATACAAGGATAATAATTACACTGAACCTCTTCATAAATACGCAACTACACTTATACTTAAGGGGGGCAACTCGGCTTGCATATACATCCGTATATACATAAATACTATGTACACTTATACATTGATACATCCTGTCTATCCTTTTTCAAATCTTTGATGGTTCGCTCTGCAACATAAATTCCAAATTAAACTGGTCATGCACATTAGTGGACGCTGCTGGACACTCCTTTCTGTCTTGCAGAAGGCTTGAAAAGTGAAAGGATTTTGAGCAAATGATCGGGCGTCACTCTGGACAGCAGGATGCCTGTGCAACATGCAGCTGCCTCAAACGAAATGGAATAATTCTTATTTGTAAATTGCCAATAGTAAAAATCGTAGTCGAAGAATTAAGAAGTATAATAGATGTGCAATATTTGTATGAACTTCACTGCGCTAATATCGTTCCTAAATTTATTTATTATTTGTGATTATAGAGGGTTTTAATATATCCTAAGCATTTCATCCAATCAGACGCACAAAACGGGTTTTCAATTCTAAGAAATTTGAATGTACAAATTTTTATTTGATTCTCTATTTGTTTCTGCGAATTGTATTGTGAGTTCCTTCATTTGCCCATTTTTCATCTCTTATTGACTATTTTTATAGTTTGAAAGGATATTCATGCAATTGTCCATGTTGTGTAATTTATTAGGCATTTGCTGCTTACGATCCTTTTCTGTTTTAAAAGTCTTGCATCGAGCACCAATACATGGAGTATGGTATGTGGCCGTGCGTCCGTCTAGTTACCCTTTTCTTTCTGTCCTTTACGCCTTTGTTTAGTTTCAAAGCAGTTGCTATTTTTGGTTCATTTTTTTTTTTTTTTGTAAATTCTGATATCCTATATTGTATGTAACATATCAGAGAATATGGAGGTTTCTTGTTTTGTGCAAAGTAAAAAAACTGATCATGACAGAGAGAAAAATTTTCACTGCCAAGGGATTTTTAATCAAGATTTGTGTGTCAAATATTTTTGACCTTTTGGCGCCTGATATATTCCACTGGAAAACTTATACATTGACATACACATTGACATTATCAGAATCAACAATCGCGCCGTCAGTTTTGCTTTCTCCAGACTTGATAAAGAAGCGAAGCGAATGGGTATGGTAGTGAACGTGGGCAGGACGATATATCTCCTGTCATCAAACAAACAGTCTTCGCATTCAAGACTTGGCTCCCACGTCACTGTTAACAGTCATAACTTTGAAGTCGTAGATAATTTCGTCTATCTAGGAACCAGCTACGCTGGCTAGGTCATGAGGTCCGAATGGATGCGAATACTCCAGCTTAGAAAGTTTTCGATGCAGAACCCGCCGGTGGAAGTAGAGGAAGAGGAAGACCTCATCTCCTTTGGAAAGACCGGGTAGAGAAGGACCTGGTAGTGCTCGGTATTTCCAATTGGCGCCAAACAGCAAAAAGAAGAAACGAATGGCGCAATGTTGGGCAATAATCGCGTAAGCGGTGTCTACGCCAGTAAAGTAAGTAAGAAAGTGAATTTATACATATTAATTTTTTTATAAAATAAGTATTACATTGATCAATAGGAATTATGCCATACGATAGGTAACCGTATTTTGACCAAAATTAATTTAAAATTCTCTTCTCTACGGCAATATACGTAATTCTATAACAGTATCACATGTAGTTAATTTAAATGATTTAGGTAATGAAACAAGTATTTGAGAATATACACAATTATAATATGCCGGCATGTACAACAAACAGTTCATAGTTAAACAACTGACATTTTAATACCATTTTTGTGCACAATATTTTTGTGGTTATGAGCGTTTTACTTATAAAGGGTTATCCATTTCGAGGTTCTAAACTTTTTTTAAGGAAAACAACACAGAAATTTATTATCATTTAAAAGAACATTATTTGGCATTTATTTTTTTAACTTCTAACTCTTTCAAATGTTCTCAGATGGTCCATCCGCTGAGTCCAATTATCGATGACTCGTTCCACCATTTCGTCTGGTAACTGACGAATGACACGCGTGATTTCTTTCTCCAAGGTCTTAATCGAAGCGAGATTTTCCACATTGACTTTAGACATTACATATTCCCACATCAAAAAGTCTGAAGTTGTGATATTAATCAACCGACCCACCGGCAGCTCTTGAGTTTTTTTCAGTTGCTCTCTGTCATAAGTGCGGCAATTGTACTCGTTTAAATACGAGTTGAGCCAAAGATAGGTGGTATTACTGAATAAACTTTGGCTCCAAAATCTTCTTAGAACTTTTCAAGAGCCCATAGAGCGAAGCGATGTCGCTTAGGAAGGTCCAGCGTTTTCAGTTCTTGTAAAAGCTGTATTTTGTACACCCTCAGATACGGCCGCTTTATTTTATTCACTGTGTGTTGGACGTGCTCTATTCGATCGAATATTATTCAATAATGAATGCTGTATAGGCTATTGAAAAAATAACCTATACTTGGACCACCCGTTATAATATTCCGAAATAATTAGAAAAACGTTAGAAAGTTGACCCACGCATTTTAAGAGTTTTTATATGTTGTTTTTATCATTAAATATAACAAAAACAGAAAATATGCCAACTAACCATACTGTAATAATCATTCATAAAAGTTATAATTTTTTTTCTTTGTTTGTATTTTATGCTTATCCCCAAAGGTAAACGTTTGCTTACATATACATACTTAGCAAAACAAAATCTGTACACCAACATGTTTCTAAATTTTGCGCTAACAAACCTCCAATTGACAGAAATCGGCCTGAACTATTTTTAAAAATATTTCCCTAGAAGTTATGGATTGGCAAACATTATGGGCAAAAAGATGAGAAAATCACGAAGGTTTCCTATAAAAATATATGTATGTAGATCATAAGTTGGCTAATAGTTAGTCAATCTCAATAAAATTGATATCACAGGAAAACTAACGCATTGGGCTATACTGATGAAACAATATTCAACGAAAAACGAAATAAATTACTGTGTATCGAATCCAAGCCGTTGGGAGTCCAAGAAACAATATGAATGTGGTCCACCTAGAGAGGCTTGCTGAGTTTGGAACAGCGAATGTGTCTGATCGTCCCGATCAGACTTAGGTGGAGGGCAGTGGGGCGAAATTGCGAGGCGAATGTCAGATGAAAGAGGGAAGCCGATAACTAGTACATTCTAGAGCGATAAAACGAGAAACTTCGATATCGAACAACTCGATTATTCTACACTTTCGCCTACGAGCAGCCGATAAGGGCGACACTCAGCTGCCAAGGGAGTCAGTTACAGAGTGAACTCGTTGGCGACAACATGAGTATAGAGTATAGCGGAATAAACTATTTGTTTATATTGAGTCGTAAAGTAAACGCGTTGGAGATTACGTTTAAGTAAAGTAAATTGTGAAAGTTTATACAAGTGATTGTAACTAGTAAAGTGCATTGTAATTGAATTGTGAATTACTGAGTATATAAAGGACGTTAGATAAATTCTTTATAACGAAAGAAACTGCAAATTAGGTCGGCGATTTTTTATTTAACAATCCAGAGATCGTACCCGAAGGATTCAGAAAATCATCGAAGTTGATTCAGGAAAATCGTGACATTACCTTTAAATAAATTTGAGTCTCGAAAAGTCAAGTAGGTTGCAAGTATTTGAAATTACCCTTGTATGAAAAAATTTAAGAGAATCTCTAACTGATTATGATGCCCATGTCCTCCTAATGGATTTATGCAATATTTAAGGCAACATTGAATGTTTCTGCGAAACTTTTGTATTTTCTCGGAAACTAAAAGAGTGAGTGAGTTGCAATCGGCCGTGTGAAACTGGTCTTTTATAGACTCACACATTGAATTCTTTGCTTTACCTATTTTTTTCACAATAGCAAAATATAAAAAATAGCAGCAACAAAGTTCGCGTGACAAAAAAAAATTATTTATTTTGTCAGCTCTGCTTCAACATTTCAAAAACATAGGAGTCGACAAATTTATCTAGCTACTTGCCGCAAGATGCCACTACATGAATATCTTATCACCTTTACCATACCTTAGCGCCATCTATCGTCAACTAGTACCTAAAAGAAATGGAGGAGATGATCCAAATTCATCTTGTTTGAATTCGCCTTTATTCATTTCCCTATTTAACGCCCCCTCCTAGTCAGACATTCTCTGTTAAAACACAATCTTTAAGCCGATGGCAGATAGGTCTTATTTTACGTTGTGCAGAATTTTCAATTATATCAGCAACACGAGAAAGGCCAATGCCATGACACAATAAACATTTTTCTTTTTAGTTATTATTTCAACAGGAAGAATGATATATATATATATATATATTTATGTATCAAATTTTTTTGAAGCTTTCTATTTGTATTCTTTGAGGAAGAACAAAATAAATAACTACAAATGATAAGAGGCGCTACGCTGCATCAGTGCCAATTCAAGCTGTCACGCAACGCGGCTATAAAGTCCTATCTGCCTTCGGCGTTAGTGCGTTAAATTCCTCCATCGACGTGAATTGACGACAAGCATATTGGGAATATTGGGAAATCAACGTGGGAAGTCATCATATTTATAAAAAAAAAAATTGCGGTTTATTATTGGTTGTAAATAAAAATTTTAAGAATAAATTTTATGATATTCGAAAGCTAATACAGCAGAGTATTCACAAACACAGTTTTTACAGAAAACGGAAAATTGATTTTGTTGTAGCTTTTGAAGGAACGGGTTCTTCGGCTTTGGTGCACATTGTTTGTCAGCAGGGGCAAAAGGTAGTTTTGCGTAATTGGCTAAAACAATAAAATTTGTTGGCCAAAATATTGAACACTTTATTAAGGTTTTAAAAGAACAGTGAAAACGGCAACTGTGTCCATCTTGCAGTAAAATGTCTAGCTTTCGCAAACGACATGTTCAAAAACCTATACCAGGGACAAGAACAAGTCCACAAACTGGGCAGATAATAACTTCTAGTGGCAATCCCTCATTTGATGTAATTGTAGGTAAGTTATTGAAAGTGTTTATGAAATTATAAAAAAGATTTTTTTTTACAATTTAATATTTGTTTTGTTTATCAAGGTGGTGGTTTACCTGTGGGATCTGTCTGCCTAATTGGTAAGGTTGATCAATTCAAAAAATTTATATAAGGTAATATTACCGATTGAGTTGTTTTATTTTATAGAAGAGGACAAATATGTTACATTCTCAAAGGTCTTATCAAAGTACTTCGTAGCCGAAGGAGTTGTTTCGGGGCAATCAATCTTATTAGGAAGCTTAGACGATGACCCGAAAGAAATGATGCTCAAATTGCCGAAGCCACTCAACGATGACGAAGATGACAGTGAAAGGACTCCTGAAAAAGAGGATTCCCCTAAAAACGGTTTACGCATTGCCTGGCGTTACAATGATCTTCCACCTGTAAATTCAGAGCAAACGCCTAGTAAAATCGGCCACAATTTTAATTTAATGGAATACATGGATAAAAATTTATTAGACTTTGTTGATACGCTATTTTGGAATGGAAAAGCCGATTCAAACGAAGATAATGGCGACAATTACGATTTAAAAACTGAAAATATGTCATTGGAAAATGACTTCAATTTGCCATCTAAGGAAGATATAGATCAAAATACTACTAGTAGCAGTTGTGGGAATAACACTAGTTGTAAAGAAGTTGATTCGGAACAAGAAAGAATGAATGCTGCCGCTACTCTGCAGTCTAGAAGAACAACCATAGGCATTCAAAGTATAACTAGCAATACCGCTGATATTCAACATAAATCTACTACGTTAAATGTGGATAATAATAATATAGCACCGAAAAAGGAAAACGAAAGTGTTCAAAAAATATTTACTAACGCAAAATATCAGCGATTCCTCAATTTAATTCAGTCTTTTGCTAAAGAGGAAAAATTTACCACGAGTACATTAGTCTACCGCAGCCTTTGTCGTATTTGCATAACATCACTAGGTTCCCCTCTGTGGTACGATGAGGATTTCTCCAAAAATATTTTAAAATTTTTAACAATTTTAAAAGGAATAGTCAGGAACTCTATATCAGTATGTTTTATTACAATGCCAATGAATTTAATCGCCAAATGTGTAAGTGTAGTAAACCTTTACTAAATAAAATCGAAATCACATGATACTTAGATGATTTTTATAGGATGCGACGCTTGTCCCGAAGATACGAAATCTGGTTGATTATGCAATTGAACTAGAATCCTTTAGCGGTTCAGAATACGGGACAAATCCTGGCTTCAAAGAGTACAACGGCCTTATACACTTGCGCAAAATTACAGCAGTTAACACACTCACTGCCTATATTCCGGAAACATACGACTTAGCTTTCAAATTGCGTCGAAAGAAGTTTGTAATTGAAAAGCTTCACTTGCCCCCAGGTTAGTTTAAAATCAACTGAATTATTACAAATCATAAACAAGTTTCATTTCAGATTTAGAGGAAAATGATTCAGAAAATAGAAACAAATTCAGTTGCCATGCTAATGTTCCAGCCAATACTGGGTCAATTGATTTTTAAACAGATATTTCCTGATAGAAGTGAATGAGTTCTGAATATCCATATATGCATATTGCTAGGGATTTCTATTTTGAAAATGTTATACAATTAAAGCATCAAACCTTTCGAATCATCATCTATATACAATGGTTAAATTAGTATGAAGAATTAACAAAGTAACAGTTTAAATTTCTTTTGTAATGCTTCGAGAAGAACACTTATGGAATTTAGGTGTAACTCAAATCCTTGAATTCGAGTTAAAGATATATAAATATGAAATAAACGAAATTTAAATATTTATTTTAAAAGAGCTTGGAAAATACTTCTTTTTTTTTTAATAGAAATGTATGTCGGCCGGCTCTTGTAATAGAAATGATTTCTTTAAAAGATGTCAATCCCAAGTGCGATTGAGTTGATTACCCTAATCCACAGTCGTTTTAAATGGTTTTTTTTAATCGAAATGCATGTCGGCCGGCTCTTGTAATAGAATTGATTTCTTTAAAAGATGTCAATCTTAAGTGCGATTGAGTTGATTACCCTAATTCACAGTCGTTTTAAATGGTCAAGAACGTGAAACATATAATTTAAATGTATTAGTTAAAAGTTTATTTATAATCATTACCATTAATGACGTTGTTGTTATTATATCGGCTGCTGTTGTTGTTGTAACCGCAAAATATTTCACGAACTGGATTTCAAGGAATATTGCGGTAGTGACAGTCTACAGACAAGATCAGTCTAAGTCATCGAGGTCATCTAACCGGAGGTCCAGTAAACGAGCTGTTTTGGACCGGAGGGAAAGGAAGGTAGACGAGTTGGTTTTAGCGGCATGCAAAAAGAGGTTAGTGTCTTGCGGGGACTGTTTGCATACATACACATACAGAACATACCTCCGAAATATCCTCAAAAATTAGGTAATTTAAATCGTCTGAAAGCAGATCGTGCTAGGAAGAGGATGAAACACTGTAGGATTAACTTTGCGTGAGCGTGAGTCTCGGCCGATTGTGACTTCGTGTCAGTTACAATTAAATTTACCACAACGACCCATTTTTATATGTATGCTAAGTATACAGCAGCAAACATATGTACATATATACGTACCTACAAGCTACCGCTCTTTGTGAATTACCAAACCTCTATTATATACAGAGAATTATCAGAAATTAGAATTACATTGAGAGAGAGTGATTCAAGGGGGAGGTTGTATTTATTTTTAGGTACGTTTTAATATCTAAAAAAAAAAATAACAACATCTGCAGACTGGTATGAACGAGATAGTTTGCTTCATACATATGAATGCATGAAACCACTTAACCATTCAACGAACGTTGAGCTCTTGATACCATTCAGAACTCCAAATCAGTTTCGCTTTGTTAGCGCTGAAATTCAGTTCGAATTGTTCATTTAAACTCATGACTAATATCGCGAGAGATTCATTTATTAAAAACTTTTAATACTTACAATGCATAATTAACGATAAAGTTAAAAAATCGAAGTAGTAAAAAATAATTAGTAATTACTTCGAAGCTTTCCTTTAGGTTTACCATACAAATAATATATCAATATTATTAGAAGCAACAAAGACGATGTTCCCTAATTAACTATCACTGAAAAACAAAATTTATCAGAATTAAATTCCGAAGATGACGCGGTTGTACAGCCATAAAGTACTACTAAACTTTTTTAATCTTCTTTTTTTGGTAATTAATATATATCTGAAAATTATGTACTTATGTAGTAAGAGTGTACGTTAATATTTTAATTACTATTTAAATGTTTTTTTTGCATACATCTACTGAAGAAGTTCATCGACTTTTACATACATATGTAGAGAAGAGGCCCGGTTCTTCTTTCTTATGTGGTGTGATTTTGGTGTTTTTCCTTCAAATGGCGGATCTATGTAGAGAAGAGGCCCGGTTCTTCTTTCTTATGTGGTGTGATTTTGGTGTTTTTCCTTCAAATGGCGGATCTTAAAATTGTAAACCAATTTTACGATATTTGTTATTTTAACTTCAATACCTATCTCAGTAATACTCATGTGGTATTGGCCCTATCTTAATTAAATTTAGGAAATATTGTTCATTTTCTATTTAATTGAAGTTGAGGTTTGAACCTACGCACTTTTACCTACCACTATACATACATGTATGTACGTATTATTTCCAACAAGTATGCCTGTATGCATAGATCTACCCTTTCAGCCGATTTTCACTAATGTTGTCTATGTTACGCTTCGTTGCTGATACATAAAAACTTTTTTTTGTCGGCTTTAGTGTAAGCTAATTACGACATTGTTTTTCAATTGTTAGTAGCCAACAGCTTGACTCGTTATAATAAAAATATCTATAAAATAGTGTACCAGGCTTGCGCGACAAGCAAACATTTTATAATTTTTGATTGATATACTAAAAGTGAAAAAATAAAATTGTTGTAAAAGCAATTTTTTTTATTTTTTAAAGTAGAAGTTAAAAAAAGCACATACATACTTACATATGTAAGTATATAAACAGATACTCGTTAAATTTATTAAAAACTAAGTCAATATAAAAGCAAATGATTAAATTATTCATTTAAGAATCCGACAAAACAATAAATGTATGTTAAACATATACGAGTTGACTTTTGCAACGATAAAGCCCGCCTAAATTCAAGTAATTAGGAACTCTCAAGCTTACTATTCTTCGCCAAGCGCCAGACAACCAAGACTTGTTTTCTTTCATGAATATATACGGTGTATACTGTAACATTTCTTAGTATCGAACATGATATTCGTTAAAGAGATACAGGGTCCCTAAACATTGTAATGTACTAAGTATTCGGCCAGCAAAATGTGACTGATTTATTATTATTTATTGATTATGTTTCTAAAGATGTTTGACCATTTAAAAGTATTAATTTTAATATTGAGCATAACTAAACGAACACTTGTTAACAATACCTTGATTCATTTTTTTTTGTTGTTTCTTATAGTTTTGCGGAATTATACTCGTTTCTTCTGGTTTGTACCTCTTCAACGATCCAAAACGTATTCTTCTCTCACGATTGCTAGCCGCAACAAGTGAACAACTCAACAACTTGCCTCAACCTTTGTTTTACTACATTTCGATCGGCTTGACTGTGGTGGGATTGCTGGTGGTCATTGCAGCCTTAGTTGGGTTTTGGGCGTCATGTTTAGACACTTACTATTGTCTTGGCTTTTACTTTCTCGCTGTGGTAATCTTGTTCCTAACTGAGTCGATGATATGTCTAGCCATCATTTTGTGGCCACACTGTCTAGGCATTACCTTGGATGAGTCAAAAATGGTAAAAATACTACAAGGCTTTTATGGTGTGCCCGGAAAAGAGCAGCTTACTAATGCCATAGATTTAGCACAAGCAAGTTTTGGTTGCTGTGGTATGAATAGCGTTATCAACTATGACACCTCTCTCTGGAAATTGCAGCGTTACGGTCAGCGAGAGTGGGTGGTACCTCTAACCTGTTGCATTTTGATGAATAACAATGACATACTGTATTATTTGGATCCAAAACCTGTAAACGAAACACAATGCCAAATGCTGCAGGAGACTGAGTTTTCTGAATATCGTCACTCAATACCTTGCCTCAAGTATTTGGACAATTGGTACCGCGAGCAGTACTTAGTATTCTTGAGTGCTAGCCTCATCCTTGCCATTGTACAGATTTGTGTGTTATTATCCATAATTGTTAATTGCTCGAATGTACCTAGCAAAAAAGTAGAAGAAAAAAAGATGTCTGAGTTGCGAAAACCGCCCACAGAAACACATCATACGCTGGTGAAAAATATTTACGAACAAGATTTAGCCTTACAATCATTGAGAAAATATAGGTAACGTGTTCGCACTTAGATTCGAAAGAGGTATATGTTCAACTTCGTAATCTGCACAAACATCGTCGTAGCACTACTTTCAAACCATTTGTAAGTGATAATTCGAAATAAGGTTACGTATTTAAATTTTATATAATTTGTTATATATTTATATAATATATACATACATTTTTAAATCGGTGTCATCTTCTTCAATGTGATTCAAATAGACAAAGCGATTAATAAATATAAAAATAGAATATTTTTCAAATAGAAAAAATAGAATTTTCGGTAAATTTTTGTCAGATTAATGGAAATTTCTCTTCATAGGAAGCAAGGAGTAACGTTGTTGGGTATCTTCAGGGTGGTCAAAGACAGATTGAAGACCCTCGCGAGAAATTCTGCTCCCGCTGGTCCAAGATGTTTCAGCATCAGCATGCTTATTCCGTCGGGGCCGATGGATTTGGAGGCTTCGCCTTCCCGATGACCCCCTGAACCTCCTCCCTGGAGAAATCGAGCACCGCGCTGGTGTTTGGCAGTTTGCGTATACGGCGGGTCACACGTCGTTTCGCTTTGTCTACCGAGGGATGCAATGTAAAAAGACGGCTAAAATAGCTCGCGCATCTCTTCGGGTCCGACGAGGCGCGATCACCGAATGAAATTTCCACCCGGTCATCGCGTCTCGTCGGGTTAGACAGCGACTTGACTGTGGCCCAGAGCTTGGTTACCCCAGAGGAGAGGTTGCAGGTCCTTAGGTGCTCCTCCCACTTTTTCCGCTTATGACTGTTTACGACTCGTCGAATCTCCGCGTTTAAATCCCTGATTAGGGGATTCCCGGGATCGGAGCTTCGAAGGGTGTCTGGTTGCTAGTACTGGAAAATGGGTAGGGTGGTCCCGCTACTAAAACCGGGGAAACCAGCCAACAAAGGAGAGTCTTATCGGCCGATAACTCTCCTCTCCCCAGTAGCGAAGACACTTGAGGCCTTACTGCTCCCGACCTTCACTCACCATCTGCGTCCAGCAGCGCATCAGCATGGCTTCCGAAAAGTGCACAGCACCACAACAGCACTTAACGCCATAAACACCCAGATGGTCCATGGCCTCAACCAAAACCGACCCTGCGCGCGAACTGTCCTAGTAGCACTGGACCTGTCAAAAGCCTTTGACACAGTAAATCATTCAGTGCTACTAACGGACATTGAGGAATCCTCATTACCGCCAGGGTTGCAGAGGTGGGTCCTGGGCTACCTGAGTGGTCGGCAATCATCGGTAATATTCCGAGGTAAAACATCTAAACCCAGAAAAATTAAACAGGGGGTTCCGCAGGGTGGTGTCCTCTCCCCGCTACTCCACCACCAGAAGGAGTTTCCCTAACCTCGTATGCCGATGACTGTACGATAATGGCGTCCGGCCAGGATATTGATGACCTCTGCTCGAAAGTAAACGGCTACCTCGCTGATCTCTCCCACTTCTTCACTGCAAGACAACTACGAATCCAACCGACAAAATCCTCGGCTACCCTTTTCACCAGCTGGACGAAGGAGTACAGGCTTGAACTGGATGTAAAGGTCGATGACGAAAAAATTCCGACGATAAATAACCCAAAAATATTGGGAGTAACTCTAGACAGCCTGCACTCCTTCACTCCGCATACGACCGCAATTGCCGCAAAACTCCAGAGCCGCAACAAAATACTCAAAGCGCTAGCCGGCAGCAACTGGGATAAAGATAAAGAAACTTTGCTGGCTACTTACAAAGCAATTGGCCGGCCGGTCGTAAACTATGCTGCTCCGATCTGGACGCCGGGGACGAACGGGACGCAGATGAAGAAGCTACAGGCTTGCCAAAACACCCCCTCAGGACTGCGACAGGAAACCTCCTGATGTCGCAGGAGCATCACTTGCACAGGGAAGCATCTATGCTACGAGTTAAGGAGCATAATGCTTTGCTGTGCAAGCAGTTCCTACTGGGATGCTACCGCAGGGAGCACCCCAGTAGGCACTTAATAGAAGCTGAACCTCCACCTAGGCACATCAGGAAGGTAGTACTAGACTTCAAGGACACGATCCAGCAACACACACAACAACCGCTGGACAGGACGGCGTATCGACAAGCACTGAACGCCATTCACCAGGAGTCAGTTAACACCTTCATGAACTCCCTTCCAGTGAATGGCGTACTCGGAGAAATACCACCACCCATAGCAGACAACGAGCTCGAGCTGCCTCGAGAGACCCGCGTGACCCTGACACAACTTAGGTCTGGATATTGTAGCAGGTTAAACTCCTACCTATCCAGACTAGACCCCAGCATACCTAACGTATGCCCGGCATGTGGAGAGTCCCCGCACGACACTAACCACCTCTTCACATGCCCCCTCAAACCTACTCATCTAACCCCCCTCTCCCTTTGGTCCAACCCCGTCGAAACAGCTCGTTTCCTGGGCCTACCTTTAGATGACCTCGACGACTTAGACTGATTCAAGCCTGTGCCTAAGCGGGGTTAGCGAACCGCTACAACAACAACAACAACAACAAGTAACGTTGTTATCGAAACGACAAGTTTATGTACATATATACATATAATATATGTATGTATACCATTAACACAACTTTTTCTAAATAACCGAATTGATATTAACTCAAATCAGGGGCTACAAAAATTAATGCAATTTTCTATACTCGGGAAAATCATTAATACACTTTTATATATATAAATTTAAACAGATTTATACTCCCTTATTTTGAATTTTATAATAGAAGCACATAACAGTGAAAAAAACTTTAGATTCTTACTTTGAAGACTTAAAGATTTAAATCATCATCAGAACTGTCAGGAACTTGGTAAACACGTCGCCTGTGTTCGACTTTGGCAACCTCTCTGAACTTTTTGCGCGAGCGTCGTCGCTTCTTCAGAATATGTTCCGCTCGCTCTAAAGGACTTAAAGATTCATTTCTGGAGTCCACATGTCTTGCAACATCTGCTTCATCCACTACAAAGGAATCGCAGACATACTGTGAAGATTCTAAAGGAACAGTTTGTGAATAAATGTCATTGCGATCATTACATTCGTAAAATACAGGAATTTTGAAAGCACCACGAGGTATATGTTTTGGGCTTCTGTAAGTGAGATATAAACAAGTTTTAATTGACTTATTATATTTAAAAAAATTTATATAGTAAAATCATACTTGATCGATTGCAAGTAATGAGCGTGCATCTGTGTAGCTGTAATCTCATTTTCGTCCATTACTTCAATCTCGTCACTTGAAACAATCATGGAATCCTTCACATTCTGACTACAAGGCATGCCACTTAGTTCTTCATCGCTTTCGTCGCAGCCACTAACAATGGCCTCATCATCAAGAAAGTTTTCTACTCGTCGAGGGCGCTTCCCTTTAAGGCGGGCGCAACCCTTTGACTATAAGTATACAGATATTTAAATTATCAAAGTTTGGCAACGAAACATATTAATACGGTCACCTTTTTAATTTCAGTAATTTCTTCGCAATCTGTTTCAGAACCCGCTTCAGACTTCGTATCTGTACAATCATTCAACGAAGACTTTAATTGAGCTTCCGTATGAAAAGTTTTAGTCTTGGTGGAAGTTGAGACTTCAAGGCATTTTATGGGCTAGATAATAAGATAAGAACATAAATCTTAAAATTCAACTACAATATAATAGACTGCAATTTATTTACTTACAACTTGAGTCTCCATGAAAGCTTCACGATTTGCCTCCCTGTTATTTTTCTTTGTGATGTCAACATGACTTGAATTGCAAATTGTAAATAGTTTTCCTAATGTTTTTTCAGGGGATGGAAAATCCACAACTTTTTCGCCAATCCTGAAATAATTGGCTGCGGAATTTAAATTCATATTTTTGGCGGATATAGATGATTTACGAACTTCATTCTCAGCGAAGGAAATGCTTCGTTTTATGTTTTCTGACAAATTGCTACTATTTTTTACATTTTGTAAAAACATTTCGAAAAGACTTGGTGATCTTTCATATGACTTAGATATTGATTGAGGTCTTATTGGTGGTGTAACAGATCTTTCAGATATTGGTTCTTTTGAGACAGATTTAAAATCACTTGATGTATTCATATTTACGATATTATGCGCTACCTTTCTGTTTGATAAGTCCGGATTGAATTCAATTTCCTCCTGGCTTAAGTTCAGGTTTGTTTTTCGGCTAGTTAATTTAAAGGAACAAATTTTATCATCAATTTCTTCTGGGAATGGTTCCAAAAACGATTCCATATTAAAATCTAATTCCCTTCGAATAGATTTCTTTAGATTAATACTTTGCTCTGCATCAGAGGCGACATTCAATTCACAAGAATTATCAGGCAAATTAGATTTCACATTTGTTGATCTTTCTTTAACCACTGTCGGTGCATCAGCAGATGTTTCAGACAGATATATAATATCCAAATCACCTCTTTGGTTTGATTCACTGATACACTCATTCCATTTATAAAATAAGTCTCCTGCTTTTGTCGTATTTTTCTTTTCAGAATTTAAAAGCTGACGCTGAAAAGACTTAACTATTGGGCCATGCAAAGGAGTGGATTTGTTGGCGGCATTTTTTTCGAAATCATCCCACTGATAATTACTTTGGATTGTAGATTTTGTGGTAGTGTTGAATTCTGTCAGATTGCTGCTATAGCCCTCTTCGTCTAAAACAATTGTTTCATAGATCATTGACTCGACTTCTTTTTCTGATGGTGAATATGAGAAAGTGCGTAAAGCATTTTCCACAGGGTCAGGATTTAACATATTATAAAACTCCGTTTTTTTTAATTCGTCTTGAACGTAGTCAAAATTGTCGCACAAAAATAATTGATTTTCTAACTTCTGAAATACCACTTTAAAAATATTTTTGAAATCACCCTCACATTCCTTATTAGTAAAGGGATGCTTACATATGCTCTTTTCAACCATACTATTAATATCCATTTGATCAATAAAGTTTTCTACAGCTGAACGTGTACCACCTAATAATTTTTCAATGATATCATAAAATACCCGAATATCTCCTTCTTCAGATGTAATTCCATGAGACTCCAGAGATAGTATATCCAGTATTTTCATCTTCTCCAAAGTATCTTTTACAATGAATGGATATGAACGTAAAATAAACATTTTTCCTTCATTAGATATATTTGGTGATTTTACTTGATCTCTGGGATTTGTGATTAGCGCCTTGGCTGGTATCAATGAACAACTTTTCTCAAGACTTTTTTGTAATTTTTGAAAGCTATGAGAATGACGCAATCTATTTGCTGATATTTGAGACAATGTATTTGGCATTAACAACTGTGTATTAGATGCTACCGGATCCTCAAATTCTTTGAAATAGTTATCTATTTTATTTAAACATTTTTCGAGATTTTGCTGTGTCTGTAAACCATGTTGAGAAGGGTTTTCGGCTTGGAAGCTTGGTTTCATTATCATTTTTCTTTTGAGAAAACTTTTCAAATCCTGACTAGTGTTGCTATTCTTGGTTTTATACTTCAACATATCGACTTTATTACCCTTTGATTGAGGCTTTATAAAAACTTGAAGTACTTTGGGATCTATGTCGGTAGGAACCAGTCTAGGAGAACATTTGTATAATGAATTTTTTACTGCCGTAGATTGAAGTATTTTTGCGTTAGTTTGATCCTTTTGAGCTAAAACGTCTTTTAAAATCTGATGTTCCTGGCCTTCGGTGACTAATACTACAACGTTGCCTTGTTTCCTTCGACCAGTTCGTCCGATACGTTGAATAAATCGTTGCGGATTTTTTGTGCTAACATCGAAGCAAACTATAAGTTCCACTTCGCCAACATCGATGCCTTCTTCTCCAATAGAAGTTGATATAAGGATGTTGTATTTACCGATACGGAAGCCTTGCATGATTTCGATCTGCTGCTTTTGGGTTAATGGGCGTAGGGAGCCGTTTATATTCCCCTGACCTGACAAAAATTGAGTTTAGTGAGCAATTCTTTTTTAGTTTTTTTTAAACATACGTACCTATAAAATAACGCGGCCTTAGCAGAGCGGGGTGCTGAAGCAATAACTGATACATAAGCATAACTGATTCTCGATATTCGCAGAACACTATTGCACGTGAGTGTGGTTTAGCCTATATGTAATACCTTAAGGCTTTTTTATTTGTATATTGGAAGTATCTATGTATACCTACTTGGAAATGGTGAAGTAAACAGTTTCTTGCTTGTTCGAACTTTGGGTGACCGAAATAAAAATTATCTGAAATTTTAGGAAGTCGTCCATTTGTCATTGGATGTAAAGGAAATTCAAAAGGGTTCGGACCCAATTCATCATGCAATCGACCCACCAAACGTTTTATTCGTGGTTCCATATTAAGTACAAACTTACAGTGCCCTTCATCACTTTCATCAAAATAATTAAGAAATACTCGAACACCATGCCTTTCCAACAGCTCTAACGCATGATACATACTAATGCAAAATGAAAAATTTGTTGTAATTGACGACTTCTCTGGATACTGCTGATATTGCGATCGTTCCCGAAAACGTTTCTGTTCGAACAGCAGAAAATTACGAGAAATTCTCTGCAGTGATCCACTTAATACATTGGAATCAACTAGTTGCCTTATATAAGGATTAATTATTGATAGAACTTCCTCAGATAGTTTCTTTAAATCCTCACTAAGAGTTACAACAATAGTTTTCATAACACGTTTGTGAACATACGGCAGTACATCGACCGATGTGTCACAACGAATTTCAATGTGAGAAATAAGTAGATTCTTAACTACTTCAGCGACGTCTTCCATAGTACGTCCAGGTGTCGCAGAGAGAGCTAGGACTCTAAAGTAATTATTACGCTGTTTTATAGTTCTGATAACCTCGTTGTACGCATATCGGCCTCTGGCACGGTGAGCTTCATCCACGACTATAAGTCTCACTTTTTGAAAAGGAAATATTGAATCCACTGAATATTCTTCACATGCTTTTTGGTAAGCTATAATATCAGAGTGCACAACGTGAGGTGTAGCAAAGAAAACACGTTTTGTATTCCACAGTTCTTTTCGACGGGAGCGTTGTAATCTCCCAGTTAATTCCACTGTATCATTATCAGGAAACGGCATTACACTTTGGCAAGCCTCAATTTGCTGTGCCACCAACGGACGAGTGGGCGCCATAAATATGATTTTACCAGTCGGATACCATCGATAAATGTTATACATTACAACTGCTGCTATGAAAGTTTTTCCAAGTCCAGTTGGCAACACAACTAGTGTGTTTTTAAAAAGCGAGTTATTCACTATGCTTAACTGATATTCGCGTTGAGGCAAATTGTTAGGATATAACCAAGTATCACCTACATTATTGTCAAATCCATCATGTTGTTCAGAAGTACGCAGTTGAGATTTATTTCCTGATAACACTGACGTATCAAATACCTTTTGTAAATCAGCGTCATCCACCGTCATATCCCACCAAGTATTTGATGAAGTAGACATGTCACTATTGTTAATCATTGTGAAAGCTAAACTATCTCAAAATTAATAAAAAAAAAATAACATAAATAAGTTCTTAAGCACAATACAATATAAAATTCTGTTCTAAACCAACATTTGAAACAGTAATAATTTTTTCAATTTCTCTTTAGCCCGCGTTATATTTGTAAAAATCATTAAATCCTTAAGTTACCAGATTAGTTCATTTAATTTTGTCTCAAAACAAGATTGCATTCAGTAACGTTTTTGCCATATACGTCTCAATGATTTCTCTAATCCTTCGATTTACTATACACCACGACTTACTTTACAATTCTAACGCTCTACTATCTTCACACAGCTTATCAACTTTGCAACTCTTTCGAAACACACAGTTTCCAACGAATTCACTTTGTAACTGACTCCCCGCTGTGCTGGTCCCTCTTTTATATATATATATCTTCACTTGCTGGTACTCAGTCCTAGAAGTTTCTGCCATTCTCTTACGATATATAAAATATTCGATACTCGCGCTCTAGATAGTGAGCTAGTAATCGCCATCTGTCAAACGTGTTTGCCTTTTTTTGCGATAGAACGCTAGTTAACAGCGAAGTCCCAGAGACTGGCAAATTATTTACAGAAGAATGATATTTTGGAGATAATTATTTTATTAATTAATTGCTTTTCCGAAATTAATTATATACGCGTTAGTTTTGCAACGCGTGACCTGGTGTTATTGGTTACCGAGTGTATTGTTTCTCCAAAAAACAAAAATGCCTGTCGAAACACCAAATTGACTAAATTGGCAATTTATTACTTGAGATATGCCTGGAAATTTATTGCCTGCCATCAAGTGACAGTTTTTCTCTTTGCTTTTGACTTCAACTTCTTCTCCCCTCTCATCGAAACCAAATTAGCTTTTAAAATGTTAAAGAGCTTACTGCAGAGAACATACTCGGCTTGCGCCATTTTAAAAATAATTGTGACAAGACATTATGATGTTATTAAATACGTACATTCGGTAGAAGGAGAACCACTGAGCTACCAATTTCACTTAATCTGCATTCGCCTTGGTAGGGAAACGATGATCGCCCTTATACATATATGTGGGGTTATCCAACTGATGTATTTGTTTTGTATTTCTCTATATATTCATATATGTACCTTTAAGTCTGAGCTTACAAGGGGATACATTTTGTCGACGAAACAGTCGTTTGTTGTTGTTGTTGTAACCGGAAATTATTCCCCGAATTGGTTTTCAGGGAATACTGCGGGAGTGACAGTCCTTGGCCGGATAAAACCCGGGTCGTTCCGGTATAAAGACCCGACTGTCGCGGGAACTATTGGATTTTAGTTGCCTCTTACGACAGGCATGCCTTACCACGGGTAAATTCTTGAGCCCCTAAGCCGCAGGAGTTAACAGTCGTTTGTTGGAAATTGTCTCTGATGATTACGAAAAGGATGAGACAAATAAAGGTTTGTGAATAGATTAAACTTTCGAAAGGATTGAGATAATGTTTAATCGAATGTAAAAATACACATACATAAGAAATAGATAAATAACAGCTATGCTTTCCTTTAGACACACATAATGTATTTATGTTAGAAATATTAAAAAGCGCGAAGCGAGCGTAAAATTGCAAGTGTAAAATTAAGCGGAACAAAGAAAAAATGAAGAAGAATCAGATGTCAAAAAATTGCTTGGGGAAGCATCTCTGTGTGAACGTGAAGGGCGACATAAAAAAGACAATAACCATAATAATCGACAAAAGTATCTCCATGTAAACTCAGACTAAGGAATTCGCAGTGTTATGCGTTCTCAAAATACTCTTAAGTTCCACTGTGGGATAACTCTCTCGTAGCTATTCAGCCATTTAAAATTGTTTTGGTAGGCAGCATTACCTCACACGTATAAAGTGTGAAATTAGTAACTAGCAAAATGTCTGCAAGTATATATCAATAAAATATGTATAAATATTTCCGCGCCAATTGAATCGATGTGATATAAAAAAAATATATATATAATATGGATTTTATTGCGGTGCTTGTCTGTGTTACGAATTGTTTAATTCTGTATGTCGGCTAAAGTAATTACTTTAGTTAATTCTGTGTTGTTTACTCCAATCAGTTCAGTGCAAAAATAAAACCACCATGTACATATACATATGTATACAAAAGTAGTAAAATGTTTGCCGTTGCGTCCTGAATTGTGCGAAAGTAAATGTGATGTGTATGCATGTAGGTATTTGAATTATAACTTCCGTGTCCCTTCGCTGGCAAAAATCTACATGATTATATACATATGTTCATAGAATGGCGATAAAAAAGGTAAAAAAAATAATATCTCAATACACTGAATTACAAATCTACATGCATATGTACTTCTGTATGCAATTTTGTTACACACGTATATATAATATATATATACATATACGCATATATATATTTATGAGAGCATTGTACAGCAATATCCCAGTTGGAAAATGCATATTGCAAAGGAAAAGGGAATGCAGAATGCAAAGGTCCCGACAGACGTAGCAATTTTTATTTCTCTTGAAATCGCTGATCAAGGATTTGAGTATTTTCAAAAAAGATTTTAATAAGTTATTGTGAAATAAGCCTATTTTAATTAAATTTTAGCAAAGGTTTTTACGTTTTTTTTCACCTTAATATAGCAGTCACAACGCATTACTCTGTAGGCCATTTGCTGTGTAGGGTAAACTGTTCTGTAATGTACTAACCGAGTAACGCTAACTTACTTCCTGCATTGCCACTCATTATCTTTCCAAGTGGGATGCACCTATTTCTAATGTTGACTCTCGCCATTGTAATATGGTTGAATATGATGTGAAAGTAGTTGATTCGGTTTAAATACGTGTACTATGAGTTGACAGTTGCTGTTGACTGAGTTATTATGAACTCTATGATTCGAATTTGAGCTCTTTTAAGACCTTTAAATTTGTCCTGTATGCTCTTTTATTAAATTATATAAATTAGTGTAACTCGTCATCAATTCATGTGCATGTGGACATAACCAGAGAGTACAATCTCTACCTTTATTTTAAAAAGTTCGATATTTACTTTGTTAATTTCAAGTAATAAATATCATCGGTTAAAGAAAACGCTGAGCAAACAGCTGGTTTTGGAACTTGTTCGCTTAGTTTTAGTTATAACTTTTCGCGTAAGATTTTGGCTTTTTTGCAAGAATACTATTATTTATATTTACTGCTTTGTTTACCTATACATTCTGACAGTGTCTCACACGATGATAAACCTCCATTCGCGATTTAAGTTTATTTCTCTTTTCTTGCATTTCAATGCTACTAGTTCGTAATACTTCACAGTACTCGTTTAATGCGCACGAGTTTAATAAAATATGTGTTTACGTATGTATGTAGTATGTGTATGTACGTCCTGAGCTTTTTAACTTTATTCATTTTGCTTATTCTAAAGTGGATTCTTTGCTTTCATGGCAGTGTTCTAAGACTAAAATATTCTCTGAGGGATTCAAGTTTATATGGTATTCTCTTCTCTTAATTTTAGAACCTTGATGTCAAAGCTACTATACCATAGATAGATATGCCATGTTTTCGCGTGTAAATGTTTTCAGGTTATTTATTATTACGTTTCTACTTACAGTTCTTAATTTTGATGATACTGAAAACGGAATTTCCCTAATGAAAAGTAGAAAAAGAATTTGCATAGCCCAACCTCGAGTTTGGTGCAAAAAATATTGTATGTATATTGTTCAAGAAATGTTAAATTAATTCTTGTCAGAAAGTTTTTCAAATCTTTATCATTTTCTATTATCGTTGTCGCCTCCGTTTTGTCGTTACTATTGTGCAGTATAAGAACTAGACCACCACTAATGCCTATCGCGGGATCCGTTCGTAAATCTCTACAACCACAGCTTTGAAAATCTGAAAGGTCGTTTACTTTGGCTTGACAGCTCGATATATCTCAATCATTCATTTAGTCTGTTGCAATCTAAGTATAGTTTCTTATGTTTTTTTTTAAAATACCAAGTGAAACCACTGCACTCCCCACTCCTATTCCTCTGCTTTCACTGGCGGGTACTGCATCTAATGCTTTCAATACTGAAGCATGACCTGAACTAGCCAGCGTACAGCGATTAATCTTCATCGCTGAACTATCAATATCTCCGTATAACATCGTATCAACGTCTGCGGTATTCGCCGTAATCAAAGCTCAAAGGGCCATAAATCATTCGCCGAACTTTTCTCTCGAAGACTCCATGGCCGCCTCATCGGCTTCTGCACCATATAGTAGGACGAGAATGATGAGCGACATGTCGAGTTTGGTTTTGGCCGGCGAGAGAGGACTTTACATTTCAATTGTCTACTCAGTTCAAAGTAGCACCTGTTGGCAAGAGTTATTTTAAGAGGGCTTTGCCCAATCGATAAAAAAAGGAGACTTCATAGTTTGCGCTAAAGCCTGTCGTCAACAAACTGATTGTACCTTATCAGTGTATATATATATAATTGGCGCTAAGTAACCGTTGACGCCATTTTCGGTCGAGCTCCTTCTCCATTTTTTTTGTTTGATGTTTTTCAACGATTGCAGGGACCTGCAGTTTATTTTAAGACGGCTGTCAACGGTCGATGGAGCTTTTATTTCATATCGAAAAGGGCTTGACATCCCCTGCCGAAAAGTGATTTTTCTGTAATTTTGGATGTTGGTAGAACCATGACTCGATCCCGGGCCTTCAGAGTGGCAGTATGCAATGATAACCACTCGGCTATTGCGGCCGCCTGTATATATTTAACATAATTGACACATCATCACTGCGGAAGTGGGTTTGGATGATTGCATCATTATTTATAGGATTTGATCTAGGTAGGATTTGAGCTTACGACCTTGTTGTTTCTTTCATCTAAATAAGTTAAATATTTTACCTTAATTTTGTTTTTCTAAGCTAGCAGTTATTTGAAAAAAAAAAAATAATTTACAGCTATGTTACAACTATGTGCATACATACACACATATGTATGTATTCAATATGAAACAATAGTTTATCTTTGCAAAAAATAATATTAACAGCTAAGATTTACAATATATACTCACGTGTTGTACGGTTGCACACATACATAAATTTACATACATGTTGTATAAGTAATATAAATATTATGGTGTAGCGTTAGCACAAAGTGAACGATAACTCGAACGCCACAAAG